TGGAAGGAGGAGGAGGAGGAGGAGGAGGAGGGGAAGTCGGGAAATTCTTATCGAGTGGGATTGGGCCAAGGGGTGAAATCACCCGGGGAGGGAAGGGGAGGGGAGTGAGGACGCGTTGTGGTGGGTATGCAGTGCCCCGCCGCAGGATATTACGGACAGAAGTCAGTACCGCATATCCCGGCCCTGTGTCAGATGGGCTCCGTGCCCTCCCCCTTTTTTCTCCCCTCGACCCTCCCCCCTCACGGACGCCTTTCGGTTAGTTCTACGTCTGGTACACTCTTGCCCTGGCAGCAGCTTCACTCGTTTGTGGTTCGTCTTTCCCCCCGGCCCCCGTTGCTTCCGGTAGCTGTGACCCCCCTGGAGCCCCCTGTGCATGTCGAGTAATCCCCTGTTTTGTCCCCTCACCCGCTTACCGTGTACGTAGGGAGCTCACATTGCCCATCGCGGCCTATTTAGGCATCCCCAAGTCCAACGTATTCGCCAACCGAATGAACTGGCAGTGGGACGATGAAACCGGGGAGCCGACCAAGCTGGTGCGTGTGCGGGAAGGGCGGGAATGTTGTTGTTACAGGGTGACACAGCTACACCAGTGGCCTCCTTCCCGAGGCAGTTCCCTGCTCTCCCCTGCGAGAGGGGCACCCTAATCCATTCCGACCCCATCCGAGCTCATAATATGTTCGTTGGGTTCGGCAACCCACCACCAGCATCCAACAAAATCTAGCGGACCAACGGCGCCTCAATTTAGTTCCTGGTCAGCTCGCAAGTTGATGGAATGTGTATGGGAATGTGTATGCAAATGCAAGAGTCCCGCAGGGGGAGGGGGGAGTTGAGGTCGCCCTTTACCCCGCTTGCATGCTGGGCGTGGATACTACCTATGTACATACATACATACATACGTACATACGTACATACATTCATACGAACCGTTGTTTCCCACAGGTTGGGTTTGACTTATCGGAGCCTACGGCACACAACCAGGGCAAGCCTGAGGTACGTTCATCCGGGGGCCTTGTGTTTCGTGTGTGTGAGGGTTGGGGGAAGAGGGAGTCCGAGGTGGCTTTTGGGGGGAAGGGAGGACTGGGGAGGACGAGCGCCGCAGCTTGTTGAAGCGCAGTGGTCGCTGTTTGCGGGTTCTCTAGGGGGGGGATTGCCCCCGCGGGGGAGGGGGGAGGCGACGGAAGAGCGAAGGGAGGGGGAAAGGGAAATAGCCCAAGCTAAAGCGTTTTCAAATCTGAAGAGAACAGATAGTTTTAAATTTTTATTTGAAAAAGGGAATAGAGGGAGGGAGGGAGGGAAGGGGGGAAAGGTTCTGCATGCAGGTTCTGGTGGGCGGTGGGGTGCCGCCGCCCCCCGCTCATCCCAACCCTCCATATCGCCATCTAAACATCCATTCGCCATCCATACCTCTCCCACTCCCTCTCACCCCCTCTCACCTTTTCTCTACAGTATCTTTCTAATCCTCCTGGAGTGTCCGTCTTATCTCTGGCATCCGCATCACTCGTCTGTGGTTCGTCTTCACCTCCTCTCACCCATAGACTTAATTCGCCTGCACACTCAATCATCGCCTTCCTTCCCTCTCTCTATTTCCCCGTCTTCTCTCTCTCTTTCTCTCTCACTCCCTCTTTCTCTCTCTCACTCCCCGTCGTCGTTATAGGCCATCGCGCGCATCCGGCAACGCAACCCGTACAACACCGTAGTCATGATTGGTGGGTGCGGTTATGTGGCTGGGTGGGCGAGATTGGTCGGGTCGGGTGGGCAGGAGGAGGGGTGGACGGTGCGTGGGGGGGCGGTAGGAGGCGGTGGTGATACCGGTGGGGATGACCCAGTCCACAGAGCGAAGAGCGCTTTCATATGGTCCGATTGGACCCGTCCCAGTTCCGTACTGCCAAGTACACAAGATACACAGCCGCAGTTATGGATGGCACAATGGACTACTACCCACCTAGGACTGTGTGTCTGTCTGTTTGTCTGTCTGTTTGTCTGTCTGTCTGTCTGTCTGTCTGCTGGATATTTCAATAGATTCAGGTCGATTCATGTAGCGGCATATTCCTGATTGATGACTTCTCCAAAGTCACACGGAAACCTGAGCGCGCGCGCCCTGTTGTGTTTCGGTCCGTAGTATAGACAGAAGAAAAATCTTAGGTCCCAGCGAACCCCCGGTGACCTAGAGAGTCTCCTGGTTTGGTTTTTTCTGAATCTGCATTCTCCGTATTCACATTTGTTGAGTTACCCTGGGTACTGGCTAGGGTATGTTCCCATCACCGCCTTTCCCCCCCCCCGCCCTCCTCCCCCCCCCCCCGGGGCAAACACAGGTGACGGCATCACCGACCTGGAGGCCGTACAGATTACAGGCGGTGCGGATCTTTTCATCGGGTACGGCGGTGTCGTGGAGCGACCGGCGGTGGCGGCGGAGGCGGAGTGGTGAGTGTGACTGTGTGGGCAGCTGTGTTGACGAAACCCTCGTTTCCCCCCCCCCCGTCCCCTCCGACACGGGTTGACTAGGACCCCCGTCCGCCGATTCGTTGGCTTGTGCTGCTGTCCATGTGTAATTCCCTCGCCTTTCCCTCCCCCCTTTGCTTCCCTCCACCTTCCTGCGACGGCTCGGTTCTGCGCGCAACGCATTCTCCTTTATATTTACTCGTCATTCCCTTTACTCACGGTAGTGTGTACGCTGTGTACGGACTGTACGGCAGGTATGTGTACGACTACAGTACCCTGGTGGAGGCGCTGGCACGCTACCGTGTAGCCATGATTGGCAGCGGCGCCTGGGCTTGCGCTGCCGTACGAATGATGGCACAAAACACGTTGGCGCACGACCCTGCCGACAACTTTACGGATGAGATTAAGATGTGGGTGTACGAGGAGGAGTACGAGGTACGAAGGGGTGTTTGTTAGGTGTCGTACAGGGAGGTTATGGGGGCAGGTTTGTGGATTCGCCTGGCCAGGTGAGTCCTATAGCGGCTCCGAGATCTTAGTCGTTTGTTGTCTCGCGCTATTTGGGGGAGCTAGCCGGGTTGGGTGGGTTGGGTTGGGTTGGTCGGGCCAGGGGCATATAAGCTGTTGGGGGGGGCCTAGGAGGAACACATGCTTGCATGTCAGCAAGCAGCGCAACAGCAAAAAGAATTCAGTAAAAATCTACTTTACTACATTCACCGCTTTCCGTTTACATCACATTGCACTTTCCGATAATGCCCTTTCTTCACGGCCGCCTTTAGTTGTTCTTCACGGCACCACCACTACGGCGGTCTCCGTCCTTTTGCCGCTTTTATAAGACTTTCCTTCAATCTCTAGGCTAGGGCTAGGGCTAGGTAGTTTTCTGCGTTTTTTCGCCTGCCTTTGGACTTTGGACTTGGCAACAGCTAGTAATCCCTCTCGCAACCTAGCTACGGCCACATCGCCGCCAAGACTACTACCACTACTACTCACTGGTCATCACTGGTCAGTTGTAATTACCCCTGATGCAGCATCAGTAATCTTCTCTGGACTATGTCCGTCTATTTCTGGTATCTGCTTCATCCGCCAGTGGTTCTTAGTCTTACCCCCCTTCCCCCGTACCCAGGGCCGCAAGCTGACGGAGGTCATCAACGAAACACACGAGGTGTGTGTGTGTGTGTTTTAAGGAAATATTTATGTGTGCGTGTTTTAAAGATGTGTGTATGCATGTGTGTGTGGGGGGGAAGGGGGAGGCAGGTGAAACCCAGGAGGGCCAGGAGGAGGTGGGGGGGGAAACCTCAGTGCCGGGGGGGTGCATGAGCTGGGAAAGGGGCGTTTTTGGCGTACGAGGGATCGTCGGCTACGCAGAATTTCATCGATTGTGGTACGACAGCCGCCGAGCGGGCGCTGAGCCGCGTTCATCAGACATGATTTTGGTAGTACCGATGATGTTGGTGCTTAAGTGTGCTAGGTAGCACGTGTTTTACAGTTGTATTAGCCCTTCCTTTTTTTCCCACCCAACCCCCTGCCCACCGGCCCCCCACTTCTCGCCCCCTGCTTGTAGAACCCCAAGTACTTCCCCGGGTTCGATTTGGGTTCCAATGTACGGGCCGTACCCTCCATTGACGAGGCGGTGGCGGATGCTGACCTCATCGTGTTTTGCGCCCCCCACCAGTTCATGCACAGCATCTGCAAGCAACTCATCGGCAAGGTGGGACCAGGGAGGCGCATGTGTTCGTTTGTTTGTTTGTTTGTTTGTATATATGTGTATCGTGTGTGGTGGGCATGCGCTTGTTATTGCGTTTGTCGTACATACAGGTGTTGGAGCAGTTTTCAGAGGGCAGTTTGAGGGGGCAGTTTGAGAGCAGTCGAGGGGAAGGGCGCAGCGGCGGCCGAGGCGATAGGCGGGCTAGGAGGAGGTTGCGGGGTATCGCGCGCTAACCGGCAACCCTTCCCAACCCCCCCCTCCTTCCCCTACCTATCTACATACCTACATACCTACATACCTACATACCTACATACCTACATACCTACATACCTACATACCTACATACCTACATACAGGTCAAACCGGGCGCCTCAGCCATCAGCCTGACTAAGGGCATGCGAGTACGGCCGGAGGGGCCCCAGCTCATTAGTCAGATGGTTCGTCGTAATCTGGGGATTGACTGTGCCGTACTGATGGGCGCCAACATCGCCACGGTGAGTCAGCAGGGGGTCGGGGGGGGGGAGGAGGAGGTTGGGTATGTGGGTTCCGGGGAATGAGTGTGGGTGATGGTCGTGCTCTGTAGGTCTGTATGTCGTATGTCCGTTTGCTAAGTGGGTTTGCCTGGGTGCGAGTACTTCCGAGGTGGGATGAGGGGTTGTGGCGGGTAGGGGTTGTGGCGGGGAGGGGTTGTGGCGGGTAGGGGTTGTGGCGGGGAGGGGTTGTGGCGGGGAGGGGTTGTGGCGGGGAGGGGTTGTGGCGGGGAGGGGTTGTGGCGGGGAGGGGTTGTGGCGGGGAGGGGTTGTGGCGGGGAGGATCCGGGATCCCGGCGGGCGCCTCTCGTCCAACCCGCTAGGGGGGCGGGGGGGGAGGGTTTCCCTTTCCCCCAGAGTTACAACTGCCGCACGAGTGCGGGGGGGGGGTCCGTCAAAGCCGGGATGCTATGGACAATCTATGTATTGAAGGTTAAGTCCACCGTACAACCGAAGGTGACTATTTCGTCCTGCTATCTAGACCCCAGATTATCCAATCATCTGACATCCGTAGAGACACATCATTCATCGCCACCAATTCAGCATGAGAAACTAAGTCCATCAGCTAGACCTCATCTTCACGCCTCGTTAGAGCAATTTATAAGCCTACTGCTACAGATTAATGTCGGGAGTCTGCCCAGGAATCGAACACAGAACCTTCCGCGGATAATTGTAGAAGTGTCACCAGACCAGACCAAAAATGAACAGAGTTCAGGGTTTTATAGATGATACCTGTGAGGTGATTCTCATAGCGCGGTCGACAGGATTCGAACCTATGCGGGAAATCCCATCTGATTTCGAGTCAGACCCCTTAACCACTCGGGCACGACCGCAAATGTACTTGTGACAGCGGGCGGATTCCTGCCTTACTAGTCTCTTGGACTCGACCTCCTCCTCCTTCTCCCCGCGCCATGCTCCTCCGACTACACGTTTGTCGCTCTGTCGTCATGTCGCATCGTACGCTCCATATCGCTACGGTTCGCCACTGGTACGACTGTGTATGTACGTACGGATGTACGGATGGAATGACGTGTGTCATGTTTACCCAACAGGACATTGGTCGGGAGCAGCTGTCTGAGGCGGTGATTGGGTGAGTTGTGTGGGGCAATGTTGCCGGCGGGGGGTGAGAGGGGAAGGCAACGTGCCTGGCCAGCGGCGACTCGCACATGTGTGTGTGTGTGTGTGCGTGTGTATGCGTGTGTGTGTGTGTGTTACGAGGCGTACGTACTGACATGAGTGCCGGGGGAAGGGGCGTTCAGTGAGTGACAGGACTCGCGGCCTCCATCACTGAGCCCCGATCAGAGCTCCTCGAGTTGGAGTGCGAGTGGGACGTTTTGTCGATCTAGGGGAGGGTTTTTGCGATTCGTCTCTGATGAGGTTGTGTAAACAACAGCCAGGCTTACCGCCGCCCCCAGGGTGCGATACACTGAGCTGAGCTGTAGTTAACTGCACTGTCTTATACACATGTACGGCAGGTACGACAACCTCGACTCGGCGGAGCGCTTCAAGAAGCTGTTCGAGCGGCCGTACTTCCGCGTCAGTCTCCTCCCGGATCCGGTGAGCGCCACTTGCGGTGGTTTGCGTGTGTGTGTATGTGTGTGTGTGTGTGTTTTGCACACGATCCACAGTCGTACATATCTGGACCATGCCAGGCAAGGGTAGGTACAGCAGGGACGTACACGGCGTGGGGTATGGCAGTACAATCGTGGCCAGGACGAGCATTTTGCTATCTGCACGCGATCCTAAGCGTACCGAAGACCTGGCAGGGCTCTCCGATGGGGGGCCCTTCAAGCCGCTGCTCAGCGACCTCCTCCCCGCCCACCCCTTGCCTGCATGCCCCTCCTTCCCCCCACTTAAACCCCCCACATTCCCCCCCACACACACACCGCCGTCCGACTCCCCGGGTTCTTACATACGACCCGCAGGTGGGCGCTGAGATGTGCGGCACTCTGAAGAACATCGTGGCCCTGGGTGCGGGAGTGGTGGACGGCCTGGGGCTGGGACCCAACTCCAAGGCCACCATCATAAGACAGGTAAGTGAGGTTGGGGTGGGGGAGGAGGAAGGGAGGGGAGCTATGCATATGGTGATAATGATGGTGATGATAACGATGATGATGATGATGGAATGATAATGATAATGATGAGCCAGAATGCAAAGGAACAACTCCGCCGACCCCAAGGTGGGCAGGGGAGACCACCAGCGCTCATCACCGGCGCGTCAAACTTCGTCGTCTGTCCCCTTTAACTCCTCTCAGGGGGTGGGAGGGGGAAGGGTTGTACGATATTCTTCAGATGGATGGACATGAGCATGCGCGCCGCCAGTTGTTACTCTTTCCTTACCGGCGTAAACGTACGACCTGGTATGTACGACACGTACGACATGTACTATGGCAGGGTCTTGTGGAGATGCGCGCCTTCTCCAAGGCTCTTTACCCCAGTGTTCGCGATGACACCTTCCTGGACTGTTGCGGAGTGGGGGACCTCGTGGCGACATGCTACGGGGGCCGCAACCGGCTTGTGGCGGAGGCGTGGACGCGGGCGCAGATGGTGGGTGCAAGGTACCGAGGTTGGGGGCGGGGATGGGGATGGGGCTTGGGGGGGCCTTGAGGAGGGGTGAATTGGGGAGTTGGGTAATGGCGGGGCCGGGGCCAGGGGTTCCCCCGGGTTTTTATTACGGCACGGTAGTTGTGGGTATCTTCGTTGGGGGAAAAGGGAGGGAGGGAGGGAGGGTGGGAGGGGGAAATCCGGGTTTTTGGGACTGGGGCGGTAGGGATGGACATGATTGAATGGCTGGGCAATCGGATTCGCTTGGCGAGGGTTAAAGCGAACCACGGACGGGTAAAGCAGGGGACACCGAAGAGAGAAGGTGTGGGGGGTAGAAACTGGTTGCAAAACCCGGAGGGCGCTCCGGAAAAGTGTGGGGAGGTGTGTGTGGGGAGGAGGTGTGTTAGCGGCTGTTGCCGGATCACTTCATCCTCACCCTCTGCTGCCTACCAGGGCCCACGCCGCGCCGTCATTTCCCGGCCGCGCACACAATCCGAGTTCTCCTCCTCCCTACACATGGAGGTGGTCAGCTTTTCCCCTCGTCCCCCTCACCCCCTTCTTCTTGCCCCTGACTCCTTGCGCGTGTTTACGACCTCCTCCTCCTCCTCCTTCGTTGGGCACCTTGGTGTGTCCCTCGCCGCTTCTGGCTCTCATCGTTGGCGCCCAAACCCACACGCATCTGGCCCGTGGATGCCATACGGGCGCTGATGTACGACATTGTCGCGACTGTTGTACGACTTGTGTACGGCAGTCTGGCACGCCGCGCACGTTTGAGGAGCTGGAGGCGGAGCTGCTGCGGGGCCAGAAGCTGCAGGTGCTTAGCGGCTGTCTTGCGGGATACCTGCTAATTGTGCTTGTTGCTGCATGTGCATTTGCTGCTTCTGGAAGTATCCGTTTTGCGATAATTTAGAGTTAAGTTTCGTGACTTGGAATGGTTATTTGTCGCTCGTTTTGTCCGTCATGCCAGCTCCCGCTTATGTTTCCGTCTTTAGACAAATTGAGCTCCGAAACCCCCTGCGGGGTTGACCATCCTCCCAATTTTCCGTATCAACTGCTTCCGAATGGTTTTACTAAATATTGATACTGTGTTTACTGATTGTTTTATTGTTAACTTAATGCATGGATGGTTTGAATGATCCGACGTGCTTCAGGGGGTGCTGACGAGCAACGAGGTGCAGGAGATACTTCGAGTGAGTGCTTATTGGGGGGGTTCGTCGAAAAGCCCCGCAGGTTTTATACGGCATGTGTACGGGTGAAATGCTACACGTGTTTTGGAGCTGAGGACTTTGCAGGGGGGATGTTTTTGGGTTTGGTGGGAGAGTTGGGGGCCCCGTGTGCAATAGTGGGCGGGGGGAGGATAGGGAATGTTGCCGTACTCTGGGGAATTTATTCCTTCATTCCTTTTCACTTCGCACCCATATTCTTAATTGCAAATCCCAGTTCTCCCCCTGGTCAGTTCAGTTCCCACCTACCCGCTACACAGTAACTCCAGTAATCCCCCTTTTCCTCTTCAGGCCCGATGCTGGGAGAGCAACTACCCCCTGTTCACAACCATCAACCGAATTATCAACGGTCACCTGCCACCCAAGTTCGTTGTCGACTACGTGGTGAGCGAGCTGATGAGAGGTTCACAGATGGGGGATGGAACCCAACAAAACTGAATAAACTGAATACATTGTACAAACTGAAGGGTAGAATTCCCAAGAAGTACCGCCTCCGAAAGTCTGCAGTTACACGAATACCTGCCCGAAGCTGGCTGGCTTTGTGGGCGACCTCCCATTCTGGCCGGGGTTGGGAGGAGGGGCCACCTTTTCGTTCCTGCGCCCGTGTGTGTATGTGTGTATGTATGTGTGTTTTGTGTACCCGCCCGTCCCTTTGAGCTCATTATTACCGCACGTCACTGAGTCATCCCTATGCATCAGCTCCGCACATGAGGCCCTTCTGTAGTGAGTCGGAGTCCCGCTTCAGATCTCGCATCCTCTCGCATCCTCTCGCGTCTTCAGCACCCCCCGGCGACTCCCCCTCCCCACCCGGCTTTCTCGGAACAGCACCTGCGAGCCACACGAGGGTCGAAAGACCCTCAAGATGTATTCAACATCGGACACGGCATAGATATGATCCGGATTCATACAAACGCTCTCATCCGCCCGTGCACACGTCCGTTCTGTCTGTCTGTCTATCTGTCTGTCTGTCTCCTACCCGTCTCGCGTATCTCTCCTTACCACAACCCGTGTTTTATCTCCTTCCTTGCCGCTTTCTCGTCCACTTTTCCCCCTTTCCGAACTCCCTCCGGCCCCTCCCCCCTCCCCCTTCATCACCTACCTACGCCAAAGGCCGGGTCCACGTACGACATCGGGAGGGCGGGAACGGAGAGTGACGAGGAGGCCCTCGTACGGCCCCGCCGTACACCCGCATCAGCAGCCCGGGGATGAGTGCTGCGTATGTGTGCGCGTCGGGATGCGAAAATGCCAGAACGGAAAGGGAGTGTCACCCAACGAAGAAGGGGGAGAGTGGAGGGGAGGGGAGGAAGGGGAGGGAGGGAAGTGTATATCTGTGTTTGGTGTGTTTTAGGAGTGTGTGGGTGTTGATGATTATCGTGATTGGGAGTGAGAGATTGGAAAAGAAGAAGTGAGAGAGTGGCGAGGGGGAGGAAGGGGTGTATCGACGTGTGTTTGCCGTACCTTTTGTACCTGCCTTTTGTATGAGGAATGGACAGTGGATGGGAACGGCGTTGCCAACGACGTAACGTATTGCGTTTCCACGTGAGGAAGAGCGCTTACGCATTGCACCCGCCCGGGAGCGTGTGTGTGCCTGTATGTGCGTATGTTTAGATGTATGCTACTAGTTGTGTGCTTTGCGGCACTAGGGTGTTTGTCTTAGTGTTTGCTGGTAACACGCTTTTGCCGACAGCTGCTGCTTGCCTCGTGGCCTCTTCATTTTGCGGTATACCCACTTTCATGTTGGGTTTCCCACCCATCGTTCTGGTCGTCCTCCTCCGCCTTCCTCCCCCCGCAGTGGTTCGCCTGCGCTTCGTCGTACCCCTTCCTCCCGACGTGCACGATGTGCACATTGTCAGTAACCTCGCATGACTAATCTGTTCGTGCTTCCTCACTGTTGTGGGGTGGTGTTGCAGTTGAAATTCTTTTGTGGCAAAACTGAAGTGTGACGCACACCGAGAGCTCGGTGTACAACAATACAAAAGTGCACACATGTGCGCGTGCAGTACGATGCAGTACAGTGAAGTACAGTGCAGTGCATCGCGCGGCTGGGCGCAGGACGATTCTTTCCGGGCTATGCATCGCACTTGCACTTGGAGTGGTAGTGGGTGGTACGGCTCCCAGCCCTTGCCGTTTCTGAGGGACGGGGTCGCTCCACTCGCCCCGAAACCCACCGCACATTTTGAAAGATCCGGTTACCTCCTTGTTAACCCGTGCCTAGTTTCGTTGTGGCGTGGCCTGCTCCTCTGACATCAGAGCGATATGTGTGTTACTTTTTGCTGGCTTGTTTCGAGCTCTTTTGCTCGCTTGATCGGTCTGTTGTTGCTTTTTCTTGTTCTTGAAGAGGATGGGAGAGAGAGATGCATGGGTTGATTGCATCACCGCACGGGTTTGGAATATGTGTCCTGGTGGGTGCCTGCCTAGGGAGGGCGCAAGGGGGACCTGGGTGGTCAGGGTACGCGACGTGTACGCGATGGTGTTCCAGGGTGTAACGCAAAGGTGTCGCTCTCGCTCCACCGAATAGGATGCGCATAGAGAGGTTGAGATGCATTGGCCGTGTTGGGTTAGATGGCGGCGTCAATCACTTGTGATGACTTGCACTGCCACCACCCAGGAGTTTAGTATGCGATGCTGGAGTTAATGAATCCAAACTTTTCCGGGGAGTGTGCTTGCTCGCCTGCCACTTTAGTACTTGTTAAGCTCATGATTCCTTGGAAACCATCCTTGCACACGTTGCCCGAAAAGTGAAACTGCTGGACGCTTCATGTAGCAGTGTGTCCAAGGGTTTGGTCAGCTATCCAATGCAAATGTGGCTGGCAGCGTGCAGGTTACTTGCATGCGCCTTCCGTACGGGCCGTTTAACTGTTCCGGCACGCAAATGAGCGCAGGATATGCAAACCCGAGCGTACATGCATCGTAAATCATTCCTTCTGATCCCTCATTCTAAAAGAAACCAAGTATAGTTGCAGGGATTTCAATTATTATGCTGTCGCTGACAATTGACGTAAGGATAAAATACGGTTTGCTAGTTATATAACGGTGCAATACCTTGACGATTGGCATCTGTAATAAGTCAAACCCTTGCCCGACACCAGCAACATGCCTTCGGTTGTGCTGCTCAACGTGGTACCAGCGTTTGGGAACCTCCTGGCATCACTTATGCTTATATCGCCTGTGCCAGCCGTGCTGAAACTTAGAGCAACTGGCAAGCTAGGCGTAAGTTGGACCCCTGCGGACTCAATCGGCATGTGCTTGGTGATGCGTCTCCGTACGGTTGTCGATGGCTGACCCAGATCCCATCTCTGCGGAGTCAGAACAGAATTTGAAAAATCAACAAAAACGACAGATGGATCCTGACCCACATGAATACGTGCACGCATGTCCAGAACAGAAACAAAGCAAGTTGATCAACAATAGCAGCGCCAGCAGTCGCAGCGCCAGCAGCGGAGTGCAAACTCAAACGGAAGTCCTCTGCATCCAGCCCCTCAAGAACCCAAATGGGTCGACTTAAACCCAGATCGGGGTTAACCTTCGCACGTCTCAGATACCGTCGCCACCCCATATCGCATCCCACGCGCACCCCTAGAGTCCGGCCCATCCTACCCCACACGCCCTGCGGCCTTCCCACCCAATCGGCAACCAAGCTCCATCCGTTCACTCTCTTTCCTGCAAGTCATGTACGTTTTGTTCGCACCCTCAAAACCACCCAGGTGCAGGACCGTATCATGAGCATTATGTTGCTGGGGTCTGTACACTTCATCACCATGACCATCGTTGCGCTGTTCAGTTTAACACAGCAAGCCGCGGAGCGAATGTGGTGAGCCGAATGGGATCATAGGGGGCTTGAACATGTGTGACATATTAATGCTTTTGATGTATGGGTGTTCGTTCGGTGAGCTGCGACATTGGAGTTGCGGTCACGGGCATTAGAATGTTGCGACGAATGTTGTTAAGACGGCGAAACTAGGGTCTGTACGATTCGGCTATGTGTGTGTGCGTGTGCGTTTATGTTCGCATGTTTTTAATAATCCGAGCCTCGTGTGTGCTGGCGGCCACAATGCCCCGAAAGGTCCGAGGATTCAGGTCGGATCCTACCGCCCGTTCACTGCTGCTGTTTTGCCGCTGCTGCTGCTGCTGCTGCTACTACTACTACTACTACTACTACTACTACTACTACTACTACTACTACTACTACTACTACTACTACTACTACTACTACTACTACTACTACTACTACTACTACTACTACTACTACTACTACTACTACTACTACTACTACTACTACTACTACTACTACTACTACTACTACTACTACTACTACTGCTGCTGCTGCTGCTGCTGGCCTCAGGGGAACAAACGCCATCATCATCCTCATGGTGTATTACTTCATCCCCCTCTCGTCCATGTACGACATCATTCGAAGAAAGAATGCGATCTCGATCTATCCGCCGCTGGCATGTGGTGCGATTGCCAACGGAGGGCTCTGGACGGTCTACGGCTTCGCGTTGAAGGTAATGTGCAGGGCGCGTAATGGCATCGCGTCGACGATGTTTGGGCATGAGGCCACTTTTCTGTCACATTCGGTGTCACCCTAAAGCTTCGCAGGCTTCTTCTTCCTGAACAAATGTGATTTAAGACAGAGGAATGTCCTTACCGACCGCAACTGTCAAGCCTCTTCTCACCAGTGTCCCTAAGTAGCTGTTATGCGTAAGGTTGGATTTCCCATGGCCTTGACGAGCCATGTACGGTATTTCCCCATTGTGTGTGTGTGTGTGCTTTTTCATAAGTGTTCATGTTCGTGTTTGGTGCTTCCATGGAACGCCCAACACCCTGTTGTTTCCCCTCCTGTATTCTCAAATCATTCAGTCAATCCATTTATAGACCTAATCTCACACGTACACACGCATGCGCCCTTGATTCTTCTTCCCACCCAACGCCCCAGGACGTCAACCTCTGGCTGCCCAACCTATTCGGTGCCGTGATTGGTGTCGTACAGCTCGTCCTGCGTGCCGTGTACGGCGCCGCACCCGATGCAGCTCAGTCCAGTATGGTGGCGGCTTCTGGCCCCTCCAGTGTAGCGACATCATCGTCCCCCAAGAACCCCCTCAAGACGCCCTGCTCCAGGGGGGGAGGCGCCGACGGCCCGCCACACGCCGAGAGCCCCGAGCAACACCCCGCCGCCAAACATCCGGCTGCCAAGGAGCCCAGGTGAGAAGTGACAGGAAAGGTTATAGCTGTGTGCCGTACAGAGTATCTGCCGAGCAGCTCCACAATCAGGCTTCGGTTGGTCGGTTGTGGAGGTTGTATGTTGCGCGCGGGAGCCGTTGTTTCTCATCTTTCCTTTTCTCCTAGGCATTACTCGTTCGCGTGGCGCTTTTTTTCGCAAACATGCAACCGCATTTTTGTATGTGGAGTCGTACGGCCTTACCTGTACGGCATCGCTACTGTGTGTGCTGCAGGCGCCCTTCCATTTTGGCGCTGCTGCACCCTTACCAGTACATCGCCGCTCAGCTTGGCGATGTTGAGAAAGGGGGCTCCGCCTCGACCGCCTCCCCCGCCTCCAACTCCGTCACGGTGGTGGCCACCGCGACCTCGACCGCCATCAAGTCGCAGCTAGGGGCCCAGCTGTGAAGCTTCACTTGACTCCACGAGGAGGCTGTGCTCTCCCCGAGCTGAAAAACACGCCCCGGTGGGGGAGTGCGGGAGACATCTTGAGGAGCTTGCGAGCTGTGAGGCTCTGCTGGGGGCGTGAGATCTTGGCCGTTTTAGCCCCGTCCGAGCCGCACAGCACAACATTCGGGGAGGGATGGCGCGCGGCTCCATAGCCAGCCGTGAATGTATATTTTGTATATAAATGTTTGTATAAATGGAATATTTATAGCCCACTTGTGGATCTGCTTCGTGCTGTTGACTGTCGGGGTCCTAGGCGCTGACACGTGACGCTCTCACTCAAAAGGGTGGCATGCTGAAGCAGCGCATGAAAATTACCTTCGAGCAGCCGCAGCTGCATTGATGTCCATGTCGTTCCCGGCTGGAATGCCGCAATGTTCGTCGACCCCCGTGGTGAGCAGGGCCTAGGACAACGGTTCACGAGAGATAGTGCACACACTACTCGTGGAAATGTCTTTTTAGCGCAGTACTGTGTCGCCTCTGTCGGGTGCGCAATGGCGTGCAAGGGTGCAAGAGAGGGATCGAGAGCAGGCATGTATTTTGAATTGGTGCACTGCTGTCGTGTCGTACTGTTCCGTACTTTGTCGGGCCGTGCTGGAAGGGACTTCTCGCTGCCAGGGTTCATGTGCTGCCACCACACTACTAAACGTAGAGAGTGTGTTGTGCTGCAGATAAGAGAGAGATCAAGCCAAAACATTTATGAAGCATTCGTGATGTGGGTGGGTGGGTGGGTGGGTGGATTCCGTGATCTTCAGTGGCAAACGACGGGATGGCGGACGTCATATAGCATTTGCGAGATTCCGGTACAACAACATGGTGATCCAGAGCGATGAACTGCAGGAGCCTGGACGAGCATCCTCCGTATTCGTCGCATTTCGCATGTTTTCGCCATGCTGGCATGCGACAACGTATATGTACATTATGCATATTTTTTCTGAGTCGGTTTTTTCCCGCCTTGCGAGAGTGAGAGTTACGAGTAAGCGGCCCACGGTGGCCCCCCCATCTTGTCGATGTAGTCTTTGTCAATGAAGTCGTGTCTTCCATGCCGATGCGCGCGCGTACGTTGCCACTCTAGCAGCCGGTTCAAACCACGTTGTGTTTCGTACCATTCTTGCACGCACATATCTCGCCGCGCACTGGTCGTTTTCGGTTGTGAGAGTGAGCGGGGGTAAACGCTCTTCTTGATACCATCATGTAATACCATGTTGCTGGATGCCCGTGTCCATGCCGGGTCATGTCTTGTCATCCTTGGATGCGAGGAGGCGAGGTGTGGGAACGAGGGTGGTGCGTCCGGGAGCCTTTTCGAGATGGCGAAGCGGAGCAGTTCGGCGGAGTGTGGCAGTGAGGGATTGGGACTGGGAGAAGTGCTGTACTTCCCTTTGCATGCGTGATGTGTTGCTTTAATAACTTCACTGGGCTCTGTGCAGAAACTGTTAAGAGGTTGGCACTGTGGCTTGGTGTGGTGTGTGGTGCGTAGCTGTACACAGCTGTACGAATGGCCCGCCGTGTGAGATGCGGATGCTTCTTGAAGTTTTAAGTGTGCTCGGATGTATTTTCAAACGGGGACCTTTTTTTTACTGCAACACCGCCTGTTATGCTGGTGCGGAAGAGAGAGAAAAGGAAGAAGAGACAGGGGCGTTCGTCCGCTGTGCGGCTGCTGTTCGATCGCGCCTTTTTGACCCGTTCCATGCCGTCATCATTACCAATCTTTACAGGGCACACCATTTGTCCCTCAGTCCACCCTCCGAGTAGCAGGGGGGGTTGGAGTGCGTGTCGTTTAGCAGTGAAAGCGCACCGCTTACTGCGCCCGCTGTTACATCCGTGCTTGCAGGGCAGCGGCACGTGCAGTGCCCCTTCCTTTTGGTACGTGTGTGCGGAACTTGTGCAGCTTGTGTGTGTATGTGTGTGTGTATGTGTGTGTGTGTGTGTTACATGGTCGTGGGTGTGTGTGCCCCGTACCTGCAAACCGCCCAATACGAGCCGAGGGCTCTAGGACTGTCAAATCGCCTATGAGCTCCATCCTACCTCGCACTTCAGACAAAGCAAGTGATAAAGGGGAGACTAACGACCAAAGGGAACGATAGAGCTGCGGTGGGAACATATATACGTTCAAGCATCCTTGCCAGACGTTCAGCTTACCACTTCACAGCGTCCTTCATATGCTTGAAGCGTGGGAAATCCATATCAGATCTGATTTCGCCGTACATTATACGATTTGCGCCGGCAGTCTAGCAAGACGTGCTTCTCACCTTTCATATGGGTATCTGCCGCAGCATGGGCATACCCGCTCCTCCCTAGGTACACAACGCCCTCCCTTGCGCGCTCAGGTTTCCCACTAACGCCCAACATCAAAAAAGCCTAAACTGCATAGGCTTACAATTCGCTGAACGCGGGATAAATATCGTGATATGCGGGAGCACCTCCTTCCTGCCCACTTGCTCAGCCGCCAGACCCAGACGCGGGTCGAGAGAAGCGGTGACAACGGCCATCGTGCGTGGTATCCTGAACACGTCCCAAGCACCCAGCCGGGCAAAGGGACGGCAGAGCGACTCGTGACTTTCATCACTGCGTGGCTTGGGGTCAGGTCGTAGCTTCATTGGGGTCAGGACGCTGCATGGTGCGACACTGGATATCGGCCTGACGCAGGTGCGGTGGCAAGTGTTCCTGGAGTAACAGTTTCATGCATGTGGAGCGACTTTCTGAATGTGGTGTGCGCTACGTGTTCTAGCTGTTGGCCGTGTATTCTCTATATATAGGACGGGTAGATCTCCCGCGGCAGGGAGATGGCAAGACGGCCACAAGAGCCTTGCACACCACACACTGTTGAGCCCCCGTTCGATGTAAGCAAGAATTTCGTCGGCCAGGTAAGGGTGTCCAAACAGCACGAACAATGCATTCAACACAAAGCCAAAAGTATCAACGCCATGGCCGTGGTCTTCCCCAACACCGATCCTCCCGCTAATTCTCACCCACACGGAAGGGCATGGGTTGTTCGCTGCTGTGGACCCTTCGAAACCCGTCGGGAACAAAGAAGCCTTGTAGCAACGAGAAATGAAAAGGAGGAATGCGCGCGGCTCTGTCAAAATCTATCACCTCACAAATCCCGGTGAAATGCTGCAACCCCAAACGGCTCATACCGCCCGTATGACTCGCACGCACACTCGTCAAGTCCTACGGCAGCACAAGGACTGTTGTGATGTGACACACAGCAACTTAAAAAAGCCCACCCAACAAGCACCCTCGGATCGCTCAGGCTCAGGCTCATTCAGGCAGATGCAGGTAGTAGATGTTTCAGCCTCTCTCATATGCCATGTCCAATCCGCTGCATACCATGACGACTCTCTTCACACGATGCACTTCCCTTCCGCTCAAAACCCTAATCCACATCTCCCCCCTCGCGACAACCCCTTCCCGGCAACGGCGTGTTGCAGCCGCACCCGCTCCCGCCAACAGCACAATGAAGCGTGGACCCGAGCCCGAGCCGACAGGACAGCGTATTCAGGGGCCTCCAATATAGTCATGAAGGAAGCAAACGGGGCATTGCATTGAGAAAGAGATCCTGCGCTACTCGCTACAGTAACCCGGAATGGCAAACCAAGAATCCATGCCTCCCTTCCCCAGTACACACACGCACACGCTCACTTAGGCAAGCAAATGCACACGAACCAACTCGTCGAATACCATTCCCTGCATACGTTTCCTCATGTCACCGACTTCCTCGCGCCGCTCGACGGCGCCCACACCGCTTTGGCAGGGCCCCCTGCAATCTCTCTGATCCTCGGCCCTCAAGGTGGGCCTCCTAAGATGGTTTTAATGTTAGTAAACCCTAAGACGCATCTCCCCCAGGCCTGCTTTTCCACCAGCCCATTCCTGCATCTACCAACTTGCAAAATGACCCTCATCCACTAAAGGCGTTGCCCGGGTTCATGCGGGGCCCGAGTTCCTCGTGCAGTCCCCACGCATCACAGGCTCGTGAACGTCCGCGCAGCTATCAATACAGACAACAGTTCCCTCAACGGCGTCGACGCTTTCGTGGCAGCATATGGAGAGATATGTGAAGACAGGCAAATAGATAGATATACAGACAGATAGACAGGCAGGCGGACAGCTCATGAACCGGTGTTGGTGCCAGTGGTGGTGCTGCTGTCGCCGCCTTTGACCTTCTTGGGCGGCGGATTTCCCCCAGCCAAGACATTGTAGGCGCAGAAGGCCGACGCTGCCACGCTCAGCACGCACAGCACGAGCGAAACCCAGTACGGCAGCCCCTTGAGGAGGTCCAGGGAGGAGCAGGTGGTGTACGCCACTGCCGCAGCGGAGACTGAACCCCCCCAAGTGGCGGTGTAGGGCATGGACCCGGAGGGGGAGATCGCACGCAAGAAGCAAGGAGACAGAATCCGTGGGGAAAAGGACAAAAGCGGGGGGGGGGGGGAAGAGGCAAACAGGGAAATGAAGTAGTGACGTGACGTGACGTGATTCTAGGACCAAAAGAGAGGGGTAAGACGAACCACCGGCGAATGAAGCAGATAACGGAGGTTGACGGAAAATAGTCCAGGAAAAAAAACAAAAGAGGGGGGAAGTGGGAACAAACAAGGCGAAGCCGGGGATAAGACGGCAGGAGAGGGTGCAAGTATCAGGTTTAGGCGGATCACGTGACGACGGGACGAAAAAGGTTTATATCAAGCAGTGCATTGAAAAGAGGAAGAGGAAGGGAGGAGGAGTGGGTATGGCAGCATATGAGAGTGCGACTCTCAGGGTGCTGCTCAGGGCTCAGGTGTTGCATGCAATTTGCATGTGCGTGCGCCACAGGCACGCCCAGCATTGGGGCGGACCACTGCGATCACAGAGGCGTCAACGCATCCCATCGCCTCAACCTCAACCTCAACCTTGACTGGACCCTTGACCCACCTGCCGAGATAAGAGTGTACTGCTTTGAGTCGCCACCGGCTTTCCACTCCTGAAGGCTGAGCACTGAGGCAGCCACCGAGGTTGCTCCAGCGATAAGCGCTGTTCCGGCGATGTTGGTTAGGTTCAGGAAAAAAAGCCCGATCCCCGCAAGTACCGAAATGGTGCCGTAGGGTATGCACATGCAGAAGTCGTGCAACACCGCGTGGCGAGCTGAAGCGGTGCCGCTCGGCTGAGCTGCCTGAAAATGATGACATTATCAAAAATCAAAATTTTGTGACAGAATTCCATGTGGTGCTATGACGTCGCAACAACGGCAACTTACAGAGGCCCTGCACACAAGAGACCTGCGCTCAAGCCTTAAGGAACGATTTGAAGTAGCCACAATCTTTACGTCCCTTGGTCGTGCAAGCGACACGACAAGGGGGCAGGGCCCTGCTTTAGAAGTTTTGAGACGGCATGATTGACGGAACACCCGCGCAGACATCCCTGTACCACTGAAATTTGCAGCGTAAAATACTGCGTATCTAAGAAGAGGAGCATGCAAACGCGAACAAAGCTAGCTGCGCTTCTGTTTTGCCGACACCATGAACGACACCCGGCGCAACCACTCGTACACGAAAGTCATCGTGCATGCGCGGCATCCTTGCGGCAAAAGAGTAGCGCACACAGCTACCCCCACATGCATGTATTCAGACGTGGCTGTATAAATCGGCGCTGAAATGTTCTATCCAGCGCGGTGCTTTGCACCGTTAAGTATTTCATCCTTGGCATTATTAAACACATACATTTGCATTTGTTGCTCGCTCTATAGCCATCAAATCACATGCGAGCCGACTTGTCACCTTTCACCCGCGCAGACAGATGTCACAGTCCCTCGCGATAGACGTCTGCCGCGACAGCTGCGCATCACCCCCACCAACATGCAATATAGCTCCAGTCATGAAGTACATCTGGCAGCAACCCGTACTTCACCAAGTAAACTCTTTCAGAAAACGCATAGGTCATCATATCTTCCGTTAGTCCTGGCCGGCTGTTGCACTCGCCGCAGCCCCTCTTTCATACCGCAACACCACCAAAACTTATAGCGCCCGCGGCTACCACACCCACTAGCGTTCACCCCAGTACAATTCAGTTCCGTTGCGCCCTGTCTCTTCCTACGGCAGCTTAGCCGGTGAGAGATCCGAGGGTAGGACGCTCCTCGGTCCTCGGCCACGCCCGGCTTTTCCACCTCGGTCTTCTACCGCGCTTCTGGGCCTTTCCTGGTCCTCCGCCTTCTCCTCATATCCTTATTAACGAGGAGGACCTTAGCGAGAGAGAGAGAGGGTGAGGGCGAGAGTGTAAACGAGTTAAAATAGTAAGAGATGAAAGCGCCTTTAATTGCTGCACAGGCATAACCCCAGGCCAATAACCCATCGAGTCAGTTTCTTTGGCTAGCGCAGTGCTGCCCTTTTCCCTGTTCCCGCTTCCGTGTCGCCTCCATCTCCGTCAAAAGCTTGTTGCCGTCCTTGACCAGGAACCCAGCAGTATAACAAGAGTTGCAAAAGCAGCGGTAACAGCAGCAGTAGCTGCAGTAGAAGCAGTAGCATCTAAACCAGCTGCGGCAGCAGCAGCACCAGCTGAAGCCACAACAGCAGCAGCAGTAGCAGCACGTCGCGATCGCAGGCCTCCCCGCTGCGCAATGGCCGTCGTCTCCATTCGCGCCTCGGCATCTTCCTCCAGCCCGAACTCGTCTTCCGGGACCCCGATAGCCACCACCATGCGCCGACTGCGGCGGGCTGCTGTTGGCGGCAGTCGCGGCAGCGGTCGGGCCGGCAGTCGGGGTTTCCTCGCCTCCCTTGCGCTCCCGGCCACCGCCACCGCCGTCGCCGCGGTTGGTTCGGTGGTGCTGCTGGTTGTGCTGCTGGTAGCGAACAGTATGCCTGGTGGGTCAGGGTCCTGTCACTGTGGGTATATGTATATATGTATGTATTGTATGCGCGCTGGTGGGTTCGTTGAGACTTGAGGGTTGGGGGGGGGACAGCGGTTTTTCTTTTTTTGTGTGTGTGTGGCTCCCGTTGTTGAATGCACGTGTATGGCACGAAGGCGGCGTAGTGATACGCGGGCACGCGTCACTCAAGAGGGGGGGTAAACATACAGGCGAAGTGAAGAGGCTCTCTTAATTACATAAGACCATCAGGTAAGTGCAGCTACTGCAGCTACTGCAGCTACTGCAGCTACTGCAGCTACTGCAGCTACTGCAGCTACTGCAGCTACTGCAGCTACTGCAGCTACTGCAGCTACTGCAGCTACTGCAGCTACTGCAGCTACTGCAGCTACTGCAGCTACTGCAGCTACTGCAGCTACTGCAGCTACTGCTGTCCCTCCTGCCCCTTTCCCTCATTATTCCGTACACCAGCCGCCCTACCCTGGACGCACTCCCAAGGCACCGCTCCTCCCCATGTCCTCTCCGGCTGCCGCCGCTCCCCTGTCCCCCTGTCCCCTCGCCGCATGTATCTCTGCGCAACTCTATGCATATGCGGCGCCCTCGAGGGGCTTGTGCCAAACAACACCCCGTTTGTCTGTCTGTCTGTCTGTCCGCCTTGATTCTGTCGTACTGCTGCTACGGCTGTGGACTCACGCCACCTCCGCAGTGGCCCGCGGTCAGGCCTACCTGCCAGCCAACATGATTGATGCCATGGAGTCCGCCATGTTCCTCAACAAGTTCATGGTGGGTGCTGCAGCTTCCGTCTAGACATCTCATTGCCTTCCTGTTGCTGCAGTTGCTGCTGTTCCTGCTGTTGCTGCTGTTGCTGCTGTTGCTGCTGTTGCTGCTGTTGCTGCTGTTGCAATACACGAGTTTATGGTGTTGCAAGGCCAATCTGCTTCATTGGCTTTTCGTTTCCAACCGCATATAGATTCCCATGCCCGCAACATCCCATCACTACCACTACCACTACCACTACCACCTCCACACCACAATCTCGCCACCGGGCACCTGTCCTCTGCACAGGACGCTGCTGACGTCACTGGCTTCTACGACAAATTCCTCAACGAGAACTTCCGGGGCACTGTCTTCGCGCCCGTCGACTTGGTGGGTTCCGGTACGGCGTACGGCGTACGGCGTACGAATCACGACCACTGTCCATGTTTGGGGTTGTCAAGGACGCCTGAGACGACACGGAGGGTGCGCAGTTTTGCAATCCCAGCTGCGTTCACCAACTTACTCGTCCGGGCGGGATGGCTGCTAGGAGAGACATCCCCTGATTGAACTTTATCACCGCACCCCCTAAAATTTAGTTAGTAAAAAACACCTTTCCCCCCCAAACAACACTTGTTACACTTTTGTGATATTTCCGGACGGTGTTTGTTTTCATACTGGACTGGAAAAAGGGCTTCGATGCGCTTCTGCAAAAGACCAACGCGACGTGGGACGACCTGCTGGCGCCCGAGCTGAATTCCACTCTGGCGGCGATCGTGGGGCTGCACGTGGTTCCGGCGCAGCGCGTTTTCCCTTTGTCATCCGTGCGCGAGGGCACCGAGCTAACCACTGCTGCGGGCATGAAGCTCTACGTGCGACGCGAGTAAGCAGTGAAAGGAGAGCAGGCCGGCAGGGCAAAAGGGCGTCCTCGCAAATCTGTGACCAAGGAAAAATACACCGTAGTTAAATGCGCATTTCATTTCATCATGTCGTGGTTTTGCTGCGGATGGGAGAGTTTTAGCCTGTAAAAGATGTTGTAAAAGAGAGGTCATAGCTTCCTGCGTGAGGGGGAAAACAGTTACGGAAAGAGAAAAGGAAAGGGATGGAAGGGGTAAAGTCCGGGCTAGCGTCGCAGCTTCCAAATCTTTGAAATTGATTCGCTCTTTGAGCTGCTATATCCCCAGCTCCATAGGCATTGCCAACCCCGGGTGGCGCAACGACATGCAGATATCGTCGGCTCCCTTCTCCTATGCTCCCCCCGCCTCCGTGGAACTGAGAAACGTCTCCAAACTTCCTCCTAACTCCCAACTCCCAACTCCCCCGGCTCGCCACCACCCTCTTATCCTGGTTCTGAATTGAAATTAAGTGTCCCGGGCATCACCCACATCTACGCGGTACCCCGTCCCGAGGAAGACCCGCTCAACTTCGCTACCGTACTGCAATACCAGGAAATCCGCGGCGGCAAGGTGAGAAGTACGGCAAGGGTACGGCAAACACGCCTCCATATGATAGGCCTCGCATAAACTAACCCCCCAAGCAGTAATATATAAATTGAATTTTAGCTCGTGCTGAACTGTTAGTTCAATGCGACGGTGCGCTGGACAATGCCAATATAACAGCCAACCAACTGGCTAAGTAACCAGTCAACGGTTATGATCCGTCATGCGGTTATGTTCGTTATTATCTTCGGGCACGGAAACATTACGTCATCCCCTCTTCCCAAAAAACTATTAAAACTCCACAGGCCATTCTTTATGTGGTTGATAAAGTGCTGCTACCCCCGGTCAAGGCCTCCCCTCCGGCGCCCGCGCCCACCACCACTCGTCGCAATCGCGGCGCTCCAGCGAACACCTCCTCCCAGCGCAAGGCCCGAGTGTAAATAAACTGTGTAAAGTGCGAATTTGAAAAAAGGATCAACGAGCGGCGAAGTAACCAAGCTTAGAGAGTAGCACTTTGCTGATGGTGCTGATGGTTAAAAGTGGGCGTATGTAGACCCGCTGTGCGTGTATGGTATGTATGGGCGTGTGTTTTGTACGTGGGAACGTGTGTGTAAGTTTGCAACTGTTTGTCCCCAAACTGACGCCCCTCGCGAATGGGCTTTTGGTCCTCCAGTGACGTACGGCAATGAGGTTGGGGTTGGTCGAGTGCCCATTGGGCCTTTTCACCGCGCCTACCACCACCCTCCTCCTGCTCCTCCTCCCTTAACGCCGCACGGAGTGTTTGGGATAATATTTGGCCTTCCCATGCGTCAGCGATTGATGGGCTCGCTCACTTGTCGTACCCGTCGTCCTACATTTTCCTTCCGGAAGCCGTGAGCGTGTGAAAGAGGGTGAGGGGAGGGAGGTGGTGTGTGTTTGTGTGTGAGGAGCTGGAGGTGTGTTTGGACAGGGAAAGGATGCCTGGCAGGCTGGGATGTTTGTTCACCCGCGTTTTGCCTACGACCGACGACGAACATACCTGCCTTACAGATGGCCATGTAGCTGCCTGGCCACCACTAGCTGGGATAGAGAAACGCAACGCGATGAAGTGAAGCTAGGAGGTCGTCAGGAACCATGGGGCTGTATGGAAGGGGGCCAGGAGGGGCGGAGCAGCGCGTGTGTGCACATGCGTGTGTGTGCGTGTGCGTGTGTATGTGTTTGGGGAAAAAAAGGTGCGGAAGGGCTTGAAGGATATGGCTGAGGTCCAAATGTGTGTGTGTGCGCATCCGGTGTGATGTGGATGTCGGGGATCGATAAGCTGAAAGAGTGGAACTAAAAACATGTCGAGCAATGGGTCTCTGTCAGCGATTTAGGGCCATCGTTTTGATAAGGTGAAAAGTTTGGGACCTGTTTCAGTTTCTGGCCGAGAGCTGACTCGCGGGTTCAACCTCGCGTCGAAGAAAGCCTGCTTGCCTGGGTGGTTTGTATGCGGGGCCCGGGTGGGTGCAAAGGTCGGCTTCTTATCACCCCTGCTGGGAGGGTCCTGGAGCCTTAGGGGGGCTAATTAGGCAAGTTGTTATCTTCCGTTGGGATTTATTATTGGGGGAGGGGGCGATACCATGGCGGCTTTAACCTTCGGCTCGAACAGGCCTCACAGGGGAGCTTGTATAGGGCGGCAGCGTTTTGGTTTAATTGGTGGGCGTGGAGCAAAGCATTTTTACGGGATAGTTTTCCTGTGTCATCATCCCTCTATGTATCTATTTCGTCACTTTCGGTGGAGCAGGTAGTACAGTCCGCTTGATATCTTTCTGCAGCTGCGGACGTTGAAATACGTCGTACACCACTTTCTGTTTGCATCTGAGCTAGGCTTGTTTTGGAGCTGTCTTGACTAATCACCGCATGGACTTTATGTAACAAGAAGAGGCGGGAGAACTTGGAAAACAAAGTCAGAGGTTACGGGCTTATAAGGTGTGGGGGAATCCATCCATCCGGACTTTCGTTTGCGCAGCGCAACGGCTTTCAGATTAGGCAACTGCCGAAGCGGCGCTGTGCATGGAAATAGCCGAGAAGCGCGCAGCAGGAAGTTAATTCACGGAATCTCAACGCGTAAGAAAAAGGAAAGAAATTTGAAGAAAAAACTATGTCTGTTTGTTCAAAGGAGGAGGAGAAATGAATCAATATTGTTGTTTACGTGTGGCCTAACGCACTTCGGCCGTGAAGATTAATGTAGCTATAGCCAAAACGACAAACCTGCTATATAACAACGGGACCCATATAGGCCAAGTCATCGTACCGCATCCATGTTTTTCTGTCAATACTAAGTCATCATAATATGATGCAAGTTGAAGAAACTCGTGCTGCTCCGGTTTCCATCCTGTCACACCTTTAATGCTCCCTTGTGCAATTCAAAGCGTTTCTGGCATCCATCCGGCCCCCTAAACAGGGCCGATGGTGCCACCACCATTTCCACTGCTGCTGCTGCTGCTGCTGCTGCCATCATTTCTGCTGCAGCCGCTGTTACCTCTGCCTTTGCCACCACCCTTGCTATCACCAGAGCTGTCGCCGGGAACACCGGGAAGTGCGGAACTGCGGAAAACCCGGGTTTTCCATAATGTGCACTTTTGTAAGTCGCCTGGAAAGTCTGGGGCAAATACGTGTACTGGAGCTACGACCTCTAGGAACACGCCTGGTGTTAAGTGTGGCTATTGTGGTAAGGATAACCACACTGAGGATCAACGCTTCAAGAACAACGCACAGAGAAAAGGCTACTGTGACGTCCGAAAGCCTTTTCTAAATGCGTCGAAGTCGTAGCACCAATAGACATAATTCCCCCAGACTTTCCAGGCGACTTACAAACGCGCACAAAAAATTTTACTAAGTTTTAAGTTACCTGACATCACCCAGTTTCGATCTGGGGACCTCCTGTGTGTAAGACAGGTGTGATTCCACTACACCATGATGCCATATATGTCAGATTTTGTAAATGTAAAGTTTTACCAAGCATTAGTATATATTTTCCATTTTCGGATGGGATCTTTTCACCAAGATGTCGTATTACTTACACGACAACGGCTTTTTTCAAATAAACTCGTCCACGAAGGACCATCATTTCGGCCTGGACTCAAAGCCATACACTCCTGTAAGATGACAGCGCCCACAGAATAATGAGCGGCCGTGGGATCTGCCACCTTCCGCTCAACCACTTCAGATGAAATCAAATTCAGGTCAGGTCGGGACAGAGACATCTACTCGATACCAATTGTTATAACACGACTTCAGAAAAGTGCCGATCAGTGGATGCAAATCCCATGGCGGATGGCCAAGATACTACAACCGGCACTTCAAATTGATTAAGGTATTCCTCCATACTACGGATGTGTTCGAAAAGCCGATGAATGAAGGGGGCAAGAACATTAATGGAGTGTACGTCCACCCTTTTCCTGGCATACTTGAAGCATTCCGCAGGTACACAATCTAGCCCACCAGGTTTGTTGTTGCGGAGGGACTTAATCGCAGGTACCGCCTCCTCTAGGGTGAATGGTGGAGTTCGGCTCCGCAGCTGACTCCACACGTTGCTCCCGTGCACCCGTGTAACATCCCAACCCCGACCACCACCTCTAGGCATGCCATAAATGAAGCTCCGCATCCCCATAATTGTCATTGTCATTGTGGTTACAGTATTTCCGCCGCCGACGCGGCGGGTGCCCTCACGAGCCGTGAGGCTC